AAAAAACGAAGGAGAAAGAGAAAAGTGATGGAAGGATAAAGAAATTAAAATAATATTTTTATTAATAACAAATTTGGCATCAGGACAAAATGGATAAGATAAGGAAGAGGGAGATATCTTTGGTGTGGTAATGAATTCATTCACGTGGGGAATAAAAATTAAGAGAGAAGATGAATTATTACTCTAAAAAACTATAAGAAGGTAAATTGAACTCATTGGAGACACAATGAATGAATGGAATTTTTTTTTAAAACAATAATGAATGTAATGGAAGATCCTTAAATTTTGTACGAGTAAGAGAGGAGAAAGCATAAAATTAGTATTTTTTTTTCTAATTTAAAAAAAAAAATCATATTCCATCCAATTTTTTTTTTATGACTAATATGAAGACCAATATAAATATAGATTCATGCGTGGTTCATGTGAATGCTAATTCACGTGGTTCATGTGAATGCTGGTATCGATATCAAAGCAATTCGAGTAATTGACAAATTTGTTAAAATAAAATATATTATTATATATTCACATAATTCATATTGTTAAATAATTAAATAACATTTAGGTGAATCCATTTCTTTATTCTTTTTAATACTCTCTTTTTTCGATTTCTCTCCCTTCCACTCTTTCTTCTTCCTTCCAATCTACTCCTTTCTTATTCATTTTCCTCTCACTTCTCAAAAAGAAAAGGGAGAAAACGGAGGAGAAAGAGAAAAGGACCACCGGAAGGATAAAAGAAACTAAAATAATATTATAAATTAACAAATTTGGCATAAAGACTAAGATAAAGAAGAGGGAAATCTCTTTGGTGTGTGGTAATGAATTCATTCACGTGGGATGAAAATGAAGAGAAAAGTTGGATTATTACTATGAATAACTACAACAAGGTATATTTGAACTAATTGGGGTGAGAATTAATGTATTTAATTATACAATAGATTTAGACTTTTATCCTTCAAATTTAGCGTTAACTAAAGAAGGAAATCATAGATTTATTTTAAATATAGCATTAGTAAGATTGTTATTTAATTAATTTAATTATTATGAAATTAAAATTTTGTTTCGAATATAGGATTATAATTATGAGAGCGAGACTTGAGCTAGCTGGTTTTTTATGTCTTTTTAATTTTAATCCCATATAAATAAATTATTAATTAGTTTCATAAAGAGATTAATATTTCAATAACAATACATTTGTTTAATCTATGTCATATTTATTTTAATTAAAAGCTTGAATATTAAATAAAATTTTAATAGGATTATTTATTTACGAATATAATTTTATTTTTTGTAAGAATTTTTTTAATCTCGCAATGGACGTATTTTCTTAATTCAAATAACCTAATTTTAAAATGTTTTTCACGAAATAATATTAGTTAGAATAAAAATGGACAAGACAATATTCAAGTAAAACGTGGACGAGTTGTAAGAAAACTTGTCCAAGATTAATGGAAAACTCGAGTGAGTTCGAAGAAAACTTGTCCCGAGTTGTAAAATTTTCTCAAAATAATTGATTCACAACTTTTATAACAAAGATGTTGTATTGCTTGATGGATCCTTAAGTATCCCACCATCTTCAAGGTGTGGGTTTGAGCTTGTTTTGTATTAGAATTTTAACTTTATGAAATTATTCGCAAAATAAATTAAAAATCGCAGTATAAAGCAAGAATTGTACATGGACATGTTAAATGAAGGTTAGATTCACACCACCGAGCCATAGATAAGTTTACATACGACAATATATATTAATTGAAATTGTTTGAGATCCCCTAGGTTATAAAAAAATTGCCCATTAACCAACAATTTCGACCAAATTTTACAAAACTCGAGCGAGTTGGCTTCGATCTCGCCCGAGTTTCTCCTATACTGACATGTCACAAAAAGATGCTTTAGGTTAGAAAAACAATTTTCTTGATTGGAATTTTTGAACAAAGTGAAAATTTGGTTTGGGTTTAGGGTTTAGGGTGGGTTTTAGTTGGGTGGTTCGTTTGGGTCAATTTCCCAAATGTGATGGGTATGAGTTTATATAATAATGATAATATTTCTTGATTGGAATTTTTTATATTTATTTATAAAAAAAATGAAAAGTATTATATCTACCTTTGCTAATCTAATCATTATTTTTTTTGGTAGGAGGGGGAGAAAATCATAAAATTAGATATTTTTCCTATTTTTTAAAAAATTAATTACCCATCAAATTTGTATTGGTGATGAGTACGAAGGTTAAAAAAAAAGTATCTCTATATTTACGAGGTAGATGTAGATTAGCATGATTCACGTGAATGCTAGTTCACGTTATTCATGTGAATGCTGATGTTGATATTGAAGATATTATACCAACCAATAAATTTTTAAAAATAAGAAATATTAAGATATGTTCACATATTTCATGCACGTTTTATTTATGTGAAGATATTATCAAATATCTTTTCTTTTTAATACTCACCCGTTCCTTATCCATTTTCCTCCCATTTCCTTCCAACTTTCTCTCTCATACCTTCTTTCATCTCTCACTTTTTTCCTTCTGGTTTGTGTAAGACCTACTTCATGTGTACTTTTAAAAGTTTATTTGTCGATGTTTTCGTTTCTTGTTTTTATTTACTCTTTTTTAATAAAGAAGTATAGAGCGGCATGATCCAAAAAGCTCATGATTAGAAAAATGAAAAAATAATATTTTTATTTATATTTTAAAAATAAATTGAAGATGACAAAAAAAAAAGTAAGAAACTTGGTCCTAAATAATAAAGTAAAAAGGGAAGGAGGAAGAGAAGTGTTGGAGGGATAAAGAAATTAAAATAATATTATTATTTATAACAAATTTGGCATAAGGACAAACTGGACAAGACAAGGAAGAGGGAAATCTTTGGTGTGTGGCAATGAATTCACTCACATGGGGGAATAAGAATGGAGAGAAAAGACGAATTATTAGTAATAATTTATTGCTCTCAAAAACAGCAAGAAGGTACATTGGAGAGAGAATGAAGCGGTTGTTTGACCTTTATGTTCCTATATTCGAGGATATGCACATTATCTTCATACTCGTGTACATACCTGGAGTCTCACTCGATAGAAGTTGCATCCCATATGACTTGAATTCAAGACCGTAAAGTTATTCACTAGGTCTCAAACCACTCAAGCTATCCTCTAGAGACACCAAAGAAAGAAGATTTAGTAGTAATTGTTGGAGGGTAAAATATGTACTGCAACATGACCCACTAGAAATTGATGATTTAGCATCAACAATAACACCAATCAAAGAATGATTTATGGTTGTACAAATAATTTAATCTTCCGAGGTTCATATTATCTCTTTTGGACATAATCCATTCAAAAGATCCAAATCAGTGGAGACGTGTCTTACTTGTATATCTATGATATTTTCGTTTCATAGTCAACTTAAGATTTTATTTACCATTCGGAGGTCACAACCTGGTCACAACTTATATATTATATGTCATTTTCTTAAACATACTTTTCTGAGCAAATTATTTTTCTAACAGTATTTTCTCATTGTTTTCATGATCGACATGAAAATAAGAAAGCACACCAAGTAAATTTTAGAGTTTCCAAAAGTAAAATGCCTAAATAAAATCAACACTTTTCTGACCATCATCTTTATCCAATGTACCGACGATAATAATTAAAGCATATATAATAAATTTAATTAATAATTATGAAAATTCGTTAAAAAAAAGACATAATTATGAAAATTAATTACCTTACTGCATTTATAGAGTGGATTTGGATTGGTTGAGGAGACTCATATAGATAAGAAGAATTTGTTCCTCTTCCATGGCTAAAATCGTTCCTCTCATTTTCGTATAACTTTCAATATACTATTGCATTGCGCACGAGTTTACTATTATGCCTAATTTTTTCCAATAAAATAATCACATTCATCCTATTCTTTCTATTGGAAGACAAAAGTTATACAGAATAGAAATTGTTCTTCATTTTATTATACTGAATAGAATAGAAAAGCAAGCATACAGTACAACTGATAGATACGATACAGACAAACACAATTCTTAAGATACAAACATACAGATGTAGTCTAAATCTAAAGTCTCAACCTGTCTTGGTAGATAATAACTTCAACAAAGTTTTTTCAGAATTCAACAAAGCTCCCAAAGAAAGGAACAAGAAGGTAATTAGAACTCTTTGGTGATATCACTTAACTAAGCTTTTCAGGCGTTTCTGAAACTCTGGATTCTTCTTAATTGCAATGTCGACAGGAAGATCAAGTCCTCGCGGTATTCCTCCTGGGAAATTATTCGAGGAGTCTGATCCGATCCTACTGCAAATGATAAACCAAATTGATGGAGTCTAGGATGCATATTATCTAAAGGAAAGAATGATGTAATGAGGAATGTGCTTACCTCCTATCAATAAGAACAATGGAACGAAGCTCCGCATTGGCAAAACTGCATAATAAATTGAATCTCTTTAGCGAAGATTAAAAGAGGAAAATTAAATTTTAAGCCTTAAAATCAAATGTAGGAGCATTTGACAAACTAATCCTATTTATATGGTTTCGCAATACTTCTATGAACTCTCTCTTTGACACCAATAATAGAGATTAAATGGATTTGACGAGGTATATAAATATATATGTCTACATTGGAAACTGTGACTCTTATTGGACACTTAGAAGCATATTACACACTAATTAAATATGGATTTTACACTTGTTAGGCACATATCGAACACTTGATAAGCATAAGAAATAGACATAAATAGTAATATAGGAGAGAATAATTAATTTTGGGAGACAAATACATCAAACTCACTTTTTAAACATAAAAATGCATAAATTTATTGATTTTAAATTTCCTATTGTATAAAAATGATATATATATATATATATATATATATATATTAGAAATGTATATATTTTAATAAATTTGTCCTTCAGTGACACTGTCCATGTCTTAATATTTTGGAAAATGATATTGTATTAACGTTTTTTAGATTCTTTTTCATAAAAAAAATATCAAGGTAATGCTTACTATTCGCGGATTTCACTCTGTATAAATACATCGCAATCATTTCCAAATTCACGCATTGAATTAAATAAGATTCCACTGTGGCTGACAACCGCGATCTCCTTCTCCTTTCGAGTCAACAACCTGACCAAAATAGAAAACCAACCGATACAAAAATTAATTAAGGAGCTACAAAATGCAAAAATTACCCAAAAGACGTGAAATACTAAAGTAGAAAAAAGGATTTATACATTTCTTTAGCGGTATATTTTAAAACTAATTACAAAAGTATTATTTTATTTTAAAATGACAATTTTATAATGTTTGATATAATGTTGTATGCCTCTCAAACATTTCTTTGGCGGCATTGTTGGATCCTTCGGGCCTACAAATATTTCCCTTTTTCTGTTTACTTTTATATATTTTTAACTAATTTTTTTACGGTTTATTTTTATATATTTTTTTACCAAAAATAAATTCTCATTTTTATATTACTTCTTTACTGTAAAAAAAAGGTTGTTTTATTATTTACTATTTATTTCAAGAGGAATTTGTTTTTTAAAATAACATCCTTTATGAAATAATATAAAAATATTAATTAAAAAAACATGTATAAAGAATAAATAAAAAAACAACATTTTTATTGTAAAGAAATAATATAAACATGACAGTTTTTTCTATTGTGAAAACATCTAAAATTGTTAAATATATATAAGTAAATAAGAAAATAAAAAAAATGGTTATAGTAAAGAACTAATAAAAACATAATATTTTTTAATTAAAAAATATAAGAGATAATCAGTTTAAAAATAAATTATAAACAAGGGTATGACCCCACTCAGAGAAATAATGGGAAGTGAACACCAATACACCAAGTCCAATACACATTATTATCTATGTTTTAATATGATTATTAAACATTGGAGTTACTGCAGTCTGTTTGCAGAGTAACGGTAAAATAAGTGATTCTGAAAAAATAAATTTAAATATAATTTATTTTTCAAAATTACCATCCAAATGATATCTTAAAAATAAATTTAAAGTTATTTTAAGTTTTACTAAAATTAATTTATCAAACATGATCAATGGGAAAGGAGCGATTTTGATGACAGCAAAAACATGCTAAATTAATGTACACGATTTTTTAGTTTGAACAAAAATTATCAATTTTTATCAATGGTTTGGATATAACCTAAGTTCTACGTGGCATCCTTAAATCATGTGGTATGTACACGCTTTTTTTAGTTTGACAAAAAATTATCAATTTTTATCGGTGGTTTGAATACATATACATATATATATATATATATATATATATATTATTAAAAAAAAAGGTTACATTATTTTTCAAGAAATTAAATTATTTTTTAAATTAACCCTGAAAACCAAAAGAAAGAAAAGAAAACGTAGATATAAATGAAATATACACACCCACCATTTAAAAAACTTCAGTCCCCTGGCAGCCATTTCATCATCGGTTTCTCTGACGTCTGGCTTCCACAAAACATCCTCATCATGTTCAATCTAGAAAATTAAAAAGCAATGAAATAATTTAAAATTTTATAATGGGATGAAAAAAAAATTAGCAAGATATTGTAGCGAAACTTGCCATTGAAAAATCGATGGCAGGATAAAGAGGTCGATACTCGCTAATGTTTCGCCTTCTGTCACATGGAGTAATACCCTGTGGAATCAAAGAATATAATTCTTTTTTTCTTTTTTTATAAAATCCAATAATTTAGACTCAATATAATATATATCATTGAAAAATGTTAGTTCCTAGAAAAACATTCGAGAATTAAATTGGAGCTGAAGAATTTATACAATAGATTCTCGACAATCCTCTATTGCCAAAAATGGCGGACAGTTCAAACTCGATATTGCAGGACGGTTGCTATCTCCGGCATCTTCCACCATTAATGGAGGAACATTTAGATCATCCGAGTGCTCTTCACCGCCGAAAGCTCCAACAGCTGTTTGAATAGTCCTACAGTGCAAATTGCATCACCGTGGTTGAAATTGTAAATAAATATATAATGCTTGATTAGTAATTTAATTTAATAATATAAGGGACCAGTCAGAATTTCATATGTTATAACGAATATAATACCTTGACATGGGGGATGTGATGACTAACTCAATTGTCTTAAAAAATCCAGATGATCGTACATGTTTGCGCAGAGCATCGGTCTGTTTCAATAGAATACTCAAGAGAAGAAAAAAATAATTGAGTGGAATAGAATATGGGGGAAATAGTATATATAAATAAGTATCAAATCATCTCAAAATCGATTGATAACGGCGGAGGAGCATCTCATTTATTTTATAAACTTTGTCAGGTTTCTTATCTTTTCCATGTGAGATCACGTTCTCATTTCTTGTTTCTTGTTTCAACTTTCTTAAGAAATCTTACTATTTTGCAATTAACCATGTTTCTTATTTCTCCTCATTTGAGAATATTTCTCAAAATTGTATAGAATATTTTTGGAAACAGCCAAAACAAGTTTCTTCTTTCTTGTTTCCTCGTTTATGTTTCCAATTTGTTTCAAAACATAAATAAAAATATTGTTTGAAACAGAAACAAGAAGCGATTACCTGTTCCCATCCTAAAGGAGTAAGTCGAGCATCAAAATAGTCCTCAGATAAAGCTGCCGTCCAGTTCTCATCAATTGCCACATTATGGAATCCTTGGGCATGCCTCACCTGTAAACTTAATTTCAATAAAATTAAAATTCAAAGTGTTCGGCGTCGGTGACATACGAGAAAATATACATTTTCTGATTTTGTTATACTATATATACCAGATGAATAATTTTAGTGCGGTGCGATGGATACAAATTTACAGCCGCTGCAACATCCATATCTGTAGTCTATAAATTAGCATAATATTAATTAAGCATCACACACAGAAATACTATTTCTTCTAAAGAAATTACAAAGAAAAATTAATTTGTTTTGATGTACCTGAAGCTGAAATGCGAATAACGGAGTAGGAGGAGGAATTCAATAATTGTTGGCACACTTCTTTGGAATAGGAAACATGATGAGTATAGCTATATATACTAATAATATTCCTCCATTTATTCAGTGCTCCCAAATGCTACGAAAACACGTGAGATTCTAAAAACTTGTGCAATTTATTGTTTCTAAAATTATCTCTATGAATGTTTCTAAAAAAAATAGAAACAAAAAAACATAATTAATTGCAAAAAATTTAGCTAGTTCACGTGATTCATGTGATATATGAGCAATTATATTGACCACAAATTTGTAAAAATAAAAGATATTAAGGTATATTCACATATTTCACGTGTTGAATCGTTCAAGTTTTATTTATGTGAATCTCTTTTTTTTCTTCTCTTTCAATCTCTCTCCCTTCCACTCATTTATCTTCTCTCTTCCTTATCCATTCTTATCTCATTTCTCTTCTAACTTTTCTCTCTCATTTCTTCTTTAATCCCTCACTTTTTCTCCTCCTCCATCCTTGTAAGACCTACTTCACGTAGAGTTTAAAATATCCGTTTACTAACGTCCTCATTTTTTATTACTATTTCTTCTTTTTTAATAAAGAAAGATAAAATTGTATAAATCAGATATTCATGGATTTAATAATAATAAAACAACATTTTATTTATGTTTTTAACAAATTCGAAAGGTGTAAAAGAAACATGAAACTTGTTTTTTTTTCAAAATTTTTAAAAAACAAATAGAATGTTTCTTACAAAATGAGAAACAAGAAACATAAATAATTGTCTAATACTTCGGTCCCAATAAGAATTATGAAACGGAAATGTTGCCGAACTAACTTTGAAAATTATTGAAGAAAAGGAAGTAAAAGAAAAGAGAGGGAGAGAGGAGTGATGGAAGGATAATGAAATGAAATTAATATTATTATTGATATCAAAATTGGCATAAGGACAAAATGGATAAGATCAAGGAGAGGAGAATCTCTGTATGTGCTGTGGTAATGAATTCGTTCACGTGGGAATAAAAATGAAGAGAAAAGTTGGATTTTTATTTATTATGCAGAATTACAACAAGCTACATTGAAGTTAATTGGAGAGGGAATTAATCTATTTATATTAATTAATCATAACAAAGTAGAATTAAAAAATTAAATAGAAATTTGTAATACTTTATAATAAAATCACATCAACTCATACAACTTGCCTAAATTTTTTATTAGAAGAAAAAATATTAACAACATAAATAGGAATAATAAAAGTGTAAATAATTAGTTAAAAAGTTATATTAATGCCCAAAACCAACTCTGAAATAACTATGCCGAAACTTACAATTAACGTAAAAAATCAAATATAATGGAGCTTTTTATAAGATTTCTATTAATTTCATATCAAATATATATTTTATAATTCATTTCACGTACAATTTGCAACGTTTTAAAAGGTTTAAGGTGAAAATAGCCATAGTTACCTAAATTTAATATGTAATTTGATGAAATTGAAAGTTTATGGTAAAAATTTATAGATATTGCCAACGTCAAGGATAATTTTTTCCTGTCACACATTTATTTGATATCGTGCCTCCCAAATTAATTTTAATATGTTTTATTAGTTGGCTTCTTAGAATTTTCTTTTAATGGTAGAAGTTAATTAACGAACAATTTCATCATCTAAATGTACACAAAATATACGTTAATGCATAGTCACATGATTGAGAAGAATGCTTATTCACATTATTCGCATTAATTTAATATTTCTTTTTTTTTTTAGTACTTACTCTTTTCAACTTCTATCTTCCTCCCTCTCTTTCCTCTTCTCTCCACTTTTCCTTTTCCTTTCATTTCACTCCTCTTCATTATCCATTTTTCTCTCATTTTTCTATTTCATCTCTCCCCTTTTCTTCTTCTCTCCGTATATCATATGGGGTTTTAAGTTTTTGGGAAAAAAAAAAGTGAAAAAGGAAGGAGAACAAGTGTGGAAATCAAAATAATATTATTATTTATAACAAATTTGCCATAAGGACAAAAAGGATAAGATAAAAGAAGAATAAACTGAGAGACATCTCTGTGGTGTGGTAAAGAATTCATTCGCGTGGAGAATAAAAATGAAGGGAAAAGATTGATTGTTGGTTCGTTAAATTATCAATTTAGTCCCTAAACTTAGTTTGTAACCATTTAGTCCAGGTACTTCTAAATTGATAACAATTTAGTTAACTTTAATATCTAACAATTTAGTCATCGAATTTAAAGTTGGTAACGATTTAGTTCTTATCGTGAAATTTTTTTTTGTTCAGTTTCTTGTAGGTATTGATTGATAAACTAAACAGGGACCAAATATGTTTATAAATTAAAAAGATTAAATTGTTATATGATAAAATTTGATACTTAATTTTAATTAAAAATTTTACAATAGGGACTAAATTGTTACAAATTTTAAACTACAGGGACTAAATAGTTACAAGTTAAAATTCAGAGACTAAATTGTTACTTTAGGAAAAGTACAGGGACTAAATCGTTACAAAGTGAAGTTTAGTGACTAAATTTTTACTTTAGTGAAAATACAGTGACCAAATGTGTTTTTTAATCTTTGTTAAAGAAAAAATCTCAACAAATGCATTGAAGTTATCGAGGGAGAGAATTAATGCATTTATATAATAGATTTAAACTTTGACTTCAATTGAAATTTAGGGTCAACCAAGAAAGGAAGATTCGGTGGTGATAAATAAATATTATTGTACTTAATTTATGGTCAAAGAATTAATTATATTATTATTAGTAATTTAATATTTTAGGTCAAGCAAAGATTCGAAATAGGGATAGTTTATGATCTAAATTTTTCACAAAATATTCTTGCTATTGTAGTATTCGATGAATTTTTAGATTTTGAAATAGAAAATTATTCATACTTATACACAAAATATTCTTGCTATTGTAGTATTCGATGAATTTTTAGATTTTGAAATAGAAAATTATTCATACTTATACAATGAAAATCATGAAAAATTCAAGGAATTTATACATTGTTATTAGTTATTACCATAGATTAGAACTTGCTATACATCTTGTGATTACACGATTGGTAGTATAACTCACTTTTGTTCTACAAAATATCTTTAAGTTACTCGATATGTAGTATATGACTAGGTTTGTTATGATTTATGTCTTGAGATTATTGGACATGACCACAATCGGTTATTTTTTCCCAACTTTAGGTAGCTTAGTAAATTGTCGATGAAACCTTACGGGAGCAATTGGTTGTAGTCTGGTGGCCGATGAAGTTGAGTATACTCTCCTCATAAGGATGAAAAAAATTCTAGTACTATGATAGTACCATACTCTCCTTGTTCATCCTATGAGTTTACCTTTATAAATAATTTTTAATGTTGGTATACTCCACATCATTTTTAATACAATGCCAACATGACAAACAATAAATAGGAGTATTCATACTTCCGTAGTACTAAAAATGTCCTCCATAAGCACAGATCAATGGATCGACGATCCGAAGTATTTTGAATCGAGCTTTCTCCGACCAACCCAATAATTTTTCTACGCTTGGTAGATGGACAAGTTGCATGTTTTGCATTTTACTGTTTTGGATATATCGTACTGTTTTGCATTTATCATAATTTCTCTATGGTGTGAGGTAGAGGTGATCAAACATAACCAAAAGATCGATAAGATCAAATCGACATCGATCGATCAGCTCATATAATACTAACAAAAATCAACTGACCAACTGATTTATTAAAATTAAAAATTAGAAAAAATGCCTTCAAGAATCACCCCACTGCATCCAGATACAAAATTAGGAGTGGAATGAGAGAAAAAATAAAGATGGAGATAGTAGAGAGAAGAAAAACGAGAAGATGATACGGTAGAGAAAGAGATTTCCTTTTTTTTCTTTTTTAGTATGACAATATAGGGATATGGAGATCCAACCTCAGGAAAAAAAAAAAGGATTGAGAGAAAAAGAAAAATAAAATAAAGACCGAAAAATAAAATAAAGACCGACTAATAAGAGAGACCGCTGGTGACTTTTTAAAAGGAAAGTATAAAATAAAATAAAGAAAAATATAATATATGAGATACTAACTTACGTGGCTCTTTATTAGCCACTTCATTTTTTTTTTTTAATACCCTTTCTTTTCAACTTCTCTTCCCCTTTCTTTCCCTTTTATTCTCTCTACTCTCTCCTTTTATCTCTTTCTTCAAAAATATATATACACACATAATTAATTATCATTTTTCTTCCATTTCACTCCCTCTTCAATATCATTCCCCCCCCCTTTTTTTCTCAAGCTCTCATTTCTTTTATCTCTCCCCTTTAATTACTAATTACTAAAAAGAACAAAAATTTGAAAACTAAAATAACATTAGTGCTCCACAAGCTATAAATTTATCAAAACAAAGGATGTATTTCCCTCAACAAAATATGTAATGCGCTAGCATCAATTAATTTAAATTTAATCAAAATGACATAATTATAATTAATAACCTCACACTCCTCTTCTTTTTTTTTTTTTTTCCTTTTGTATATAATGCATTCATGGAGAGTAGATTTAAGTTGGTAGAAGGCTCATCTAGACAAGAAGAATATGTTCCTCTTCAAATGGGGCATATGGCTAAAACCATTCATGTCATTTTGAAACCTTTCGGTACACTATTACTTCGCACGAGTTTATAATTATGCCTCATTTTTCCTAATAAAGCAATCACAGTTCCTTCTATTGGAAGACAAGAATTATACTGAATATAAAATGATCTTCATTTTATTATGAGGTATCATCAATTTGGTATAAAAGCAGGCCTGCAAAGCAACTGATGTATGAGTTACAGACAAAAACGTGTACCTCTAAATGCAGTTGCAGCAAGAAGCCTCAACAATCCCTGTATAAAATTCATGAAAATTGAATTCTGAGAAACTTTGTTAGAAGTACCAAAGCTCCCAAATAAGAGGGAAAAACGTAATTATAAATCTTACTTAACTACTGCCTATGATAATGTTCCATACGTTTCTCAAAATGATGTCATGTATCTTCTTCAAGCCACGTCTTCATTTGTAACTCCCATCTCTGGATGGCTCTCAGCTGCAACATCACTGGGAAGATCGAGCCCTTGCGGTAATCCTCCCGGGAAATTGGTGGTCGAGGATTCTGACCCGGTCATACTGCAAATGATGAACCAAATTATGGAGTCTAGGATGCAGAATATCTAAAGGTAAGAACGATGAGGAACGTGCTTACCTCCTATCAACAAGAACAAAGGACCGAAGCTCACAGTTGGCAAAACTGCATAATAAAGTGAATCTCTTTAGTCAAGATAAAAAAGGAAAAGATATATTAAATTTCAAGCATTAAAATCAAACGTGAGAGGATTTGACAATGATAATTCATTCCTATGGTATTGCAATACTTCTCTAAACTCTCCATTTGACATCAATAATAGAGATTCCATTTGACATCAATAATAGAGATTAAATTCATTTGATGTAGTATATTGAAATGCCTCCACTTTATTGTGCCGCATAAATACTTTAGTTTGGGTAATGCGTCCGTCAAATACATGTTGGACACTTCGACACTTACTGGACATATATCGAATACTTGTTATCTCAATAGAAGTGTAACACATACTAGTTGTACAAAGTATATACAGATCTGACACTTGTACACTTGTTAGCCACATATCAAACACTTGTTAAACCTAATAAACATATAACATAAATAGTAATATAGGACAAAATAATAAATTGTGAGAGAAAATTTTATCAAACTCACTTTTCCAAGCATAAAAATTATAATTATAAACTTATTGACTTTGAATCTCCTTTGGTATAAAAATGATATATATTTTTTAAAAATTTAATAAATGTGTTTTTGTTGTGCCGGTGCCCTAATTATTTTGGAAAATGATGTGTCACCATGTCTTTGTCATGTTAGTATTTCGTATCCGTATATGTGCTTCTTAGATCCTTCCTTGCTAAAATATTAGTCATTCATAAGGTAGGAAGAATACTCTAATTTGCTGCTTAAGTTGTGTTCGTGAGGTGCAAACTATTGAAGTTCAGTATTCAGTGACAACTATCTTGGACCGGATCAGAGTAATGCTTACTGTTTGCAGATTTCATCCTTTATAGATGGATGACAGTCATTTCCAAATGCACCCAATGAATGAAATAAGAATCCACTATGGCTGACAACTGCAATCTCCTTCTCCTTCCGAGTCCACAGCCTGGCCGGAGTAGAAAATCAAAAGATACAGAAATCAAGGAGCTATCAAATTATCCAAAAGACGTGAAATACTGAAGCAGAATAAATCTCTTTTCTCACAGATAATTCATGTAACAGGGCATACAATAACAATAGGTTCAAGCAACAAGAACCTAAAGCAAGCTGTAATAACTAATAAGCCCCACATTATGTAGTTGGGCCAAAGAAGTTACCAACGTAGGAAGGCCATTAACATATAAATAAAGTCATTACTGGAAAGCATTATTGCATCTATTTCATAATTTATTCAAGTCAAAGGAATCTAAAAAATTGAAGATTATTCATCGAACACCACTTTCGTCCCAAACAAAAGCTGCAGATATCAATGTCAAGCACGGGATAAGATATCTCCCGAGCCCAAACAAAGGAACCAACAAAAGTTTCCAGTCTAATCCATAGGGAGAATAGTTTAGAAACCCTAAGGTGTAAATAAATAAGTTAAAAAAGGTGAATAACTGCATGTTAGTAACTGTATCCTCGCACTATTACATTGCTGATTGCAGATTCTGCCAAGAGGAAATAGAACAGATTCTATTATCCCTTCCTCTGATTTCAATCTGTAAGTTTGATTATTTTTCCAGAAAATTTTGAAGGGGAAGAATTTACATTCTGTTTCTTCGTCTTCTAAAAAAATCTGCCAAGAGGAAATATCACTAACATCTGAAAACTGTCTCATTGTCAACATTAGAATCAGCTTTCCAGTATTGGACATACTTGGTATCTTTAGTCTCCAAGAGAAGAACTTGCAAACAAATATAACCACACAGACATCTAATGGCAGAGAAAACTAAAAACAAAAAGAACGTAAATAAAGTAAACATTCACCATTTCAGAAACTTCAGTCCCCTATCAGCAACTTCGTCATTGGTCTCTCTGATGTCTGGCTTCCACAGAATATCGTCGTCATGTTCAATCTAGAAAAATTAAAGCAATATTTTTTTACTCAAAATAAGTTAAAACTTTATAATGGAGATGAAAAGAAGTCACAAGAGAAGCAACATATTCCAGCGACAATGATAAAACAATGCAACTTGCCATTGAAAAATCAATCGCAGGGAAAAGAGACCGATACTCGCTGATGCTTCGCCTCTTGTCACATGGATGAACACCCTGTACAATGAATATAATGATTTGTCATAAAAAAAGCTTGAAGAATATTTTAAGTGCCAAATTCTTTTCAAGTATCATCAAAGATAAAAAAAATAAACATGTAAAGAAAAATGCCAGAAATTCCAATTGAATGTTAGCCGGGAGAAGAAAGAATCTCAAATAGGATACTTATGCTGATAGAATAAATAGTCTTTCACCATTTAAAGATTTCTTTTGTTGTAATGTAAAGCAGTAACTTGGTTATCTTTCAAGTTAATTATCAACTAATTCCTTTTTTTCTAACTAATATAGCTATCTGTGAGAATTTACAGGGCCTAAATAAATGCATCAACTGCAAAAAATGGAGTCATTTGCACGTAAATGAAAATAATTCAAGAGACCTCTTTAAGTTCATTCATCAGCTTAAGTATTTTTTCTTTAATTAATGTCAATACGCAAGAATTTGTAGAGTTAAAGATATGCATAAAATCAAAGATTTTCACTCAATATCATTGTAAAGGGTTACTCCCCTACAAACATTTTAAATTTGCATAAGAGGGGCAAAAGTCTAGAATTCGTGAACACGCAAAAGACAGATGCCAATTAAAATACAAATTTAATGTTGCAATGCAGCAGAGAAGTCACAAACTATCATAATGAAGATCAAAAACCTCTTACAAGTTGTACTTGAATTTATATACCAAATGTTCCCGGCAAAGCTCTACTGCCAAAAATGGTGGGCAATTCAAGCTTGATATTGCTGGACGATTGCTATCCCCTGCATTTGCCACCATTAAGGGAGGAACATTTATACCATCCGAGTATCCTTCACCACCAAAGGTTCCAACCGCTGTTTGGATAGTCCTACAGTGCAACCATGACAGTTGAAATTGTATGTATTTGATTAGTAAAAACATGAAATTCTCCCCTTGGGTAAAAAGGCCAAATAAACTGTATTAGATGAAAATGCCCTCCACAAAGTAAAGACACAAGCTCAATAATCCAAGGGAGAAATAAGCATAAAGCTACTACATTATAAGATATGAACCAACGTGCTAGTTGGCAACTTGGAATTTAAGGGGTTGAGAATATGTAATATAATCTCAAAATGCACCAAACACATCAAAACATCAGTCCCAAATATTTAAACAAATACATAAGAATATTAAAAAGATATTGAGGTTAACTTATAACTTGACTACTCTTGAGAACTCAAGGACACAGTTGTACAACCTGTTGAACAGGACAGATCCTGTTTAAGTAAGGTTGTTTATGGTATGACTACTCATGAAATACCTTTTTGGTTGCATGGACGAGACCTGAGCAAACTATCCTACATACAAAACAATAACTCATGGGAAAAGAATCATTTGATATATTGACATCTGACGAACTCATAAAGTGGGCAGGAAAATAATAATACTGATAACTGCAAGTTATTGTATTAGTCTCAATTCGCATTGTTTAAGGTTGGCAAAGGCTCTTTATGCTTTGGCTCAGACATTTCAGGTATAATTCAACTCTAAGTAAAAAGCTTTCATAAATTGTTCCTGTGCAGAAACTCAAACTCCATGAGTCCCAACCATTAGTCCAAAAAATTTTCATATAGCAAAGGTTCGCCCACCCCACAACTTGTATCTAAATCTGCTTCTTAAAAACTATCTTAGTAATACTAAGATGCAATACCTTGACAAGGGGGATGTGATGACTAACTCAATTCTCTTAAAAAGTTCACATGATTGTACATGTTTGTGCAGATTGTCAACCTGTTTCAATACCCAGGAAAAGATATCCAGTATTTGTCAGTTCATTGGATTTCATAACAAATTGTGGTTTCATATTTCTTCTAGATGATAAACAATTAAATAAGCCTCATGGAATTCTTTAGAGTGCTCAACCAATCATGCACTCTTATTCCTACGTAAAGGTTCAATTTTAGAATGCAGGTTTAAATTTTAAGTTTGAATGGTATTATAGTTTCTTTTTTTCTTTTTTTCAATTAGAAACTGAGGGAAAAATATATTCAAAAGAATGAACAAAAAGAAACAGCCTAGGAGCCACGGACCCTGCCCAAAACTACCAATAGAACATGATGGTAACCTAAAAAATACAGTCTTCCTATAAAAAATAATCACTGAAAAACTATAATTACAAAATAATTATCTTGTGCTGTACTTTTACCTAAAAGAAAGATATATATAAGAATATATATTAATTATCTTTGAAAATATTAGAGATTATGGGAAAACTAGTATATATAAACAAGCGATTACCTGTTGCCATCCTAGAGGGGTAAGTTGAGCATCCAAATAATCATAAGATAGATATTCGTTAATGTCCTTGTCACCTGCCACATTATGAAATCCCTGGGCATGCCTCACCTGTAAATTTAATTTCAATAGAATTCAAGTGCTCGGAAAATACAAACACAAAGTCATGAACGCACGACGTACAGCATTAGATTTAAACTCAAAAAAAAACAAAAAACCGTTGACCTCACATGCACATAAAAAGAAGAGTGCCGGAGAGAACATATTTTGTTACATACCAGATGAATAGTTTTAGTGCGGTGCGATGGATACAAGTTTAGACCCGCTGTAGCGTCCATGTCTGTAGATGAGCATAATAGAAAGTAAACAAGTCAAAACAAGACAGCTTAGGATAAAAGAAAACAAAAAAAGTTCTCCACGGTCGAAAATGAAATCCAAACAGCACAATCTTACAAGACGATCCAATTAAGCAGAGCAAAATACTATTTCTTCGAGGTCTCATAAGTTGAAAAAGAAAAATCATAATCCACCATTACGAGAACAACAAGGAAAAAGAAACAAACAAACTCTTAAACAAATCTCCAAACAATCGCAACGATCCATTTCTAGAACTAACAAACACATTTCACACTATCAATAAATCAGAATCCAATAGATCAAAACAGAACATTGGATCAACAAAACCGAAACGATCGATGAATAAACGGAAAAAGATCAGAGCGCGCAAGAGAGAGAGAGAGAGAGAGAGAGAGAGAGAGAGAGAGGAGCAGGAAGATCGATCCACCTGAAGAGCGGGAAAAAGAGCGAACAACGGAGGAAGAAGGTGGTGGCAATGCGAATCCCAGAGGAGGAGGCGAAGGGAGTCGTGGTCCGGTAGAGAAGAACTTTGACACGCTTCTAAAAAATGTGAAGCGTGATGACGCGGGAGTATATATTATAATATTGGTCGTCATGTCATTACAGTGGAGACCGGTACAGAGTGTTGAAAGGCCGCGCGTGGATTGGGCGCTCCAAATGATGCGGAAACGAGTGAGGCTCTAAAATTGGCATTGGAATTTGCATAAATTTCTGAGAGCTTCTTCTGAGTTTGATGTACGTACGCCATGGCATTGGCTCTGGATCTGGCTCTGGCTCTGGCTGGCTGCTGCTGCTCCGAACCCATGTGAATTGTGAAGGGACAGGACTGATTGGTTGGCGTCACACGGCGCGGCCGCTACGAGCCAATCCCCTTAACCAAACTTGCCGGAGCGGTGCTTGATTGTGGACCAGTAGCTCACGTTCGTCCGTGGATTCCTTTGGAATCGGAATCCATTCCACTTTCGTCGTCTTCTCTCTCAAGCTCGCTACAAATCAGAAAAGAGAATATGCGAAACTGCAAGCGAAAGGCTGCGAATCGCTGTTGCCTGACACCTGTTACTGTTACGGGTTTTTGGGCTTTCTTCTCAATAGGGCCCAATAGGCCCAATCAGTTGTTTTACTTTTTGCTAGACGGTGTGTGCTTTGGAGCCCCGCTACAATGATTTATGAACAAAATTTTCCAATTGAGTTTCCTAAAATTATTTTACACAAATATGTTGGTGAATGTTTGTTTTCGGTACAAAAACCTGGGGTGAGTTCAAATTTTATATGTTTTAACCAGTTAAGTTAATTTTGGTAAATGCGAGTCAATGTTACGAGATTGACTTATTGTGATATTTTGAGTTGGTTGATTTATAGTCAATTTGAGGTTAACTCAATTGGTTAAGGTATAACCTCCCATCCACGTATTGTAGTACTAAAAAAGAGAAGAAAAATAGACCAAAAGTTGGTTGACTTACTTGTTAGTGAAGAAAATGCCACACAAATGTACCGTGAGGCTCGTTGGTGTGATTGTAATAATTGGAAATTCTGGAATTAGTTTGGATAACCATATTTAGAGATTGGGCTTTCTTATAAAAAGGGCCACAGGCCCAACCTTTTTTGTTCTGGCAAGAAAAAAGGCCCAGTTATTTCTTGATAGCTTTATGTTCGGCTCGGCCCAATGAACGTAAGGGCCGATTAGCATTGTGTCCATTAACGGTTGAGAAGTTTGGGTGGATGGCATTTTTGTAAAAACACCTTTTCTTAAAAGGACATATTCATCACATTAATCAAAATCTTACACAACAAAATCAATTTGGTAAAGCTAGTATTGTAATATAGTGAGCAAATTTTTTTAATTTAATGCTGCGAGGTATGAAAAAAAGTAGTAAATAAGTGGAAAATGGAATTGAAATAGAAAAAAGCCTCCCACTATGATTTTTAAAAATTAAAAAAAGAAACAAATAAGTAACTTTTTAAAAATATGACAACTGCGTGAAAATTGAATATCATAGTCAAAAGTACTTCAAGTCAAGTTGAGTTACATAATATAAATCAAATTATTCTGTCCATATGAATTTAGCTCGATTAAGAAATTAAGAAATTTACTCATTCCCTAGAGATCAAATGTTCAATCCCTCTCTCAATATTTATTGTATTAAAAAAATCAAAGTTATTGTTCTTTTTTAAAATTAAACCAAGTCGAGACCCTCTCAAATATTTGATCAAACACCTATTTGCAAAAGAATTAATAAATCTTTAGGTCTTAAGTTTTAAAGATATTATGTCATTTTCTTAAACATACTTTTCAAGGGATTTGAAAAATAGAAGAAAAAATTTTATTTTCTAACAGTGTTTTCTCATTATTTTCATGAGTATGAAAAATAAGAAAAGCAATTCTCTTCGAAAAATGCATAGCAAATACTTTTAGTAACAATTTTGATCACAGCATAATTTCTGAATTGAAAAAGAAAACAAAAATTTAATTATCTAAAACCATCATAAAATTTTTTGAAAATAGTTGTTTCTCATATGAATAATGGGCCTTGACTTATTATCATCTTACATTAATTATTTAGTTCACTCTTCCTTAAAATTTAAAGTCTGTACTCGTTTCCTTATTTATTTTTTATTTTTAATATTAACACCTAACAAAGTACAAATCTACTTAATTTGATTATCTAAATTTAATTAACAAGAACAATATCTTCTCGTAACTTCAAGTGATTGAAGCGTTAATAAACATTTATTCACTCAAATCATCAATCAAAGCCAATAATTACACATCTCCATCTTTTATTATTTTATTCGACCTGTTTTTTGAATTTGAAGAACAAAATATTTATGGAGAAAGACAAAAAGTTAGATTAGTTGCAATTGCAATAGGACTCCAAGCAGGCAACTTAACCATTGAATTTGACCTCCTTTTTTTGGGTCACACGAGAGCTTTTCAAAAGATTATGGACAGGTTGTCACTAAATTAAATTGCCATTAATTAATTAATCCATATTTGCTAGCTTTAGAAGACCAGGTGTCTTTTTTTCATAAGTCAATTATTATTCATGGTTCAACGATAATAGAGATCGACAAGTTAAATCTCTAAGTGACCAACATTTTCCTCCAAGGATTATCTGAACCAACCTTCCATCATTTTCGTGACAAACTGTTGTCTCCTACCTGTCCTTCTCTAGAGGAAAAAACATATATTTAAGTTATCTTACCGCTTACTTTCGATATATTTTCTTTAACAAATGATTATATATATACATGATCTTTTATCGAAATAATACCTAATAAGACATTAATCAGTGTTTTTATTTAGAATATGAATGCCATAATACCGCACATCATCCTTTAATGGTTGATTTCATGCAACGAATAGGATTTAAATATGGATTAGACTTAATTGAGCTGTTATTAGTGACTAGCTGGCATATGCATGAATGTGAAGATCTACCTTGGAGGTTTATAACTTGCGATAATAGATTTATAAGGATTGGAATATAAGACAAAATTGACATTAGTTTTGTTTAATAGCATATGCAAACAAATTGGAATAATAAGACAAATTTGACTTTGCTTTAAATTTGAATGTACCATACGCCAACCAATCATAATAGTATCTGATATCCTTGTTGTGACTTGTGAGAGGCACATACAATAAATTAAAGCTTAATTAGGTCCCTTTTTCTTAGGGGAATGGAGAAAATTATTCATTGGATGAACTCCTAAATCTATAATGGAGATCTCTGTCTTAATTATATCTTCAACTACATTTATATATACTACACTAGTCATATTTTAATTTTTAATTTAACTTCTTATCTTAATAATTCACATACTAAAATGGATCTAAATATGGACTTTTGCAGAGATATAAATGCAAGAAAATGGATTAGTATAACTTGTACTTGTTTGACGAGATCGTTGTAAGGAAATATGTAGTATATAACATGAGTCATAGGTTTTAAACGAAGTCAATATTAATGGGGGGATCGAACTCACAAACTCTTAGTTGGAAATATATACTAATTACCACTGAACTATGCTCGCTTCGGCTATATACGTATATCGATTAATTAAAAGATAAGAAAACTTAAATTTCAAATATACATTAACTCACATATCATCAAATTTTTAAGACATATAACTCCTACACAAACACTACAACACCCTTAGAAGTTAGATAATTAATATTGTCTCCGAACAACGAAATTGCCAATAAACATTATTCAACACATAATTTTACATATAAAATCTGTTGTTTGGTGAAAAACTATTGAACGTGTCTGCTAGCTACAATGTGTCTGTCTTGCATTATAATTGTTGGGTGGAGCTTGAAAATCTATGTATCTCCAAGTACCAATCGATAGAAATACACTTTATAATTTTTCTCACTTGTACATCCAACCATGTAAAACTCTAAGCCATATTGTTCCATATTGTTCCATCTTTTTATAATCTTCTTTGTTTTTTTTCTTTTAATTAGAGTTCATCTATCAGTTAGGGTGGTTCCATAATCAAAGTATAATTAAGCCTATTTCATTTGCAAACTGCAATTATACATTCATTAATAATTTAAGCATAATTATCAATATTTATTGGGATTTTATTTCAATAAATCAATTGACAATGAGAGAAGCGAATATCTTATAAATCTTGTTAAATCTCTTGATATTTTTTATATTGAATTCTTAACATTATTTATATTTTCAAGGGGAAAGATATCATACTATTAGACATTTCACACCCATTTAACTCATGTGGCATCGTATTTATGATCAGCCAAATTTAACAACTATGATCTCAAAAGTTCTATTAACTAATACAAAATATTTATCTTTGAAACATTTATTACGTTGACTACACATTAAAAAGTATTATTTTTCCTTAAAACTAGCATTGTTTTTAAGTGCTGGTACCCCCAACCCAATCTTGGCTTCAAAATACCCGAGATTAGATTAAAGATAATCCATGTTGATTTTCTTAAATTAAAGGGAAAGCTTGGAATATCCAAGAACATGACAAATAATGCATAGCTAATATTATTAGGATATAAATACCTTATATTAATCCTTCCAATTATGTTTTTTTTTTTTTTACTTCACTAATTTAACACTTGTATGAAGTTCCAGATATTTAAATTTTTGACCTATAAACATTTTGTAGAAATTTTATTAACAAAAACCTCCAAATTAAGGGTTAAAACATAAATTCACATAAAATTTCTCCAACCTAATGTGAGTTGAATTGAGTCGGATTATTCTAAAAGATTTTAAAAACTAAGGGTATGTTTGGAAGGGAGGCCATTGTCAAAATCACTTTAATTTATGTCGATCATATTTGACAAATTTAAAAATTTATTTTAACAAAATTTAGGGTGTGTTCGGGAGTGACCGAATTTTTTCATTGTCAAAATCACTTCTATTTCGAATTATGTTTAAAAAATTAAAAAAGTTGATTTTAAAAATACATAAAATAACTTAAAATTCTTGGTGATTTTGAAAGATCAATTATTCTTAAATTTTTTTTTTTTTCACAATTCACTGCTTTTACGGTTGCTTCTAAACACCGTTAAAATATCTTAAATTGATTTTTAAGATACCACTGATTATATTCAAATCAATTTTTTTAAAGATCACTCAATTCTACGGTCAAAAAAAATGAAAGAGGAAGATTAATTGCAAGTCACGTGACATGAACGTGGGCGAAGACGAAACACCATACAATTAAATTTCTTCACGGGTCGCATCCCACGCTCTTCTGTTCTTTGATCTTCGGCTGAAAATTACCCAAAAAATAAAGAAAAAGAAAAAAGGGAAATTAAATGGAGTCAGCTCAGCAGGTTGGCTCAGGCACTGTAGCGAGCGTTAGAGTGTGGTGGTGGGAAGAAAACAAAGCACAAACGGACAGAACAAAAAAATAGGTTTAATTTTGTAGAGAGGGAGAGAGAAAGCGGCGGTTTTGGAGGTTGGGGGAGAGGTGGAATTACCAGAAACAACCTGTGCCCGCAATATT